TTGGCTTTTTGCAGAACAATGAAATAGCATTTGCTTTTAATTCTACGGAAAAGTAAATATTTCTGAGGCATCAATGATATACTTCAAAATATATTCAGTTTTTCTGTTATTTCAAAAAGTTATCATGTTCTTGTGATGCTTTGTCAACATTTTAGGAATTTTAGGTTTGTTTTGGAAAGAAAATTTGCTAAAATTGTATTGAGATTGGAAATGGCAACTAATTCTAGTTATACAGGCAGGAATAATGCTGAAACAGAACAGAATGGGATAGAGCTTGTCTTGGAGGGTCTGCTGATTGAAAGATTCTACTGTGTGGAAATACTACCTTGGCATTTATGAGTTGGTACGTGGCATTTGAATGTCAGTGAGCTGAGGTGAAGAGAGATACATTTGTGATAATGATGTTTTGAGGGTTTACCTAAAGGACAAGCTCTTACTGTAATGGAACTAGCTTCCATTGAAACTTTGCAGTACTTGGTAATCAGAGATATTACGATATTTAAATTGATGAGTTGTATACCTGTTGATATTAACCAATGAACTTGGAGTCTAATGGACGAATTCCACTTCCTTGTAATAGTATAGCATGTTTGTAAATATTTCAAAATAGGTTTTGCAATTTTGATTTTTTTTGTTTGTATGAACAAAAACCATTATGTGATAATAAATTGGGAATCTTTATATATGAAAAAGGGTTTTATCTAATAACCAGGGCTATTATTGCAAATAATGCATCTTTTCTTTACTTTTTTGTTCTTTAAAACCCTTGACTCCTGAATTAAGATAAACAATCTGCAAAACTGAATGGAAGGATTTTGTTTATATACATTTAGAGAATAATAATGAAAGATACCTACATGAAAATATCAAAAAAATTCTTGTTTCTTTTTTTAGCTTCATCAGATTTATGCAAAATGCCAGATATCTGTCTGTCAGTATGGTTCTTCAGGAAACTCAAGCCAAATTGTCTATACAAAGAAACAGTTACAAGTGCATATGTCAAACAATGATCTTGGTATCCCTTTGACTATCATTTTGGACTAGACTTTAATTGTTTGAGAACAGTTCATTTTACTCTTGGGATAGAGAAGAATGTATGAAGTCTGTTGAATGCTTTAAACAAATGAGTTGATCAGCCAGAATATAAATAATAAGAAGCCATTGCCCCAGTCACTTTTTTGTACTTTCTTGAAAACATTTTTAACATAAACAACATTTGCAACCTTAGATTCTCTTGAAGATATAATTAGTAGTATATGAATCATTTAGCATGGACATTTCACCATTTGAAGTACATCTATATCTTTTTTTTCTCTAAGTTTTGGAACAGACTTTCAAAGATATATGAACATTATCTAAATAATGGTCTGTTTCTCCTTATTTATGAAGTACATCAGTTGGATTTTTGTGAAAGAATGAATATTTATGTTACACGGTTAAATAATATTCCAGCAAAAAATTGTAATGATAAGATGAAGACAGTGATGATATGTTTTTTTCTTTTTTTTTTGAGAAAAAAAAAGAATGAGATATTATTTTCATATACACATTTTTGTCCCATTTATAATAAAAGGTTATTAGTATATGGTTATGTTGACATTCTTAGTGCTTAAGGTACCCTCCTCAAACACAGTTAAGTAGTATAGTGATAAAAGAATCTATCAATCTGACACCTGAGTATCCTGACATCCTGTCTAAGCTGACACCTGAGTATTCTGACATTCTGTCAAATCCAACAGTCTGTCAAATTTCATACCTGAGTATACTGATATTCTGTCTAATCTGACACCTGAGTATACTGGCATTCTGTCTAATCCAACATTCTGTCAAATCTGACACCTGAGTATTCTGACATTCTGTCTAACCCAGCAATCTGTCAAATCTTATATCTGAGTATATTGACATTCTGTCTAACCCAGCAATCTGTCAAATCTTATATCTGAGTATATTGACATTCTGTCTAACCCAGCAATCTGTCTAATCTGGCACCTGAGTATACTGGCATTCTGTCTAACCCAGCAATCTGTCTAATCTGGCACCTGAGTATACTGGCATTCTGTCTAACCCAGCAATCTGTCAAATCTGACACCTGAGTATACTGACATTCTGTCTAACCCAGCAATCTGTCAAATCTGACACCTGAGTATTCTGACATTCTGTCAAATCCAACAAGCTGTCAAATCTGATACCTGAGTGTACTGACACTCTTTCTACTCATATTCAATACCTAAGTATTCTGAAATCCTGTTTAATCAAATCTGATACCTGAGTATTCTGATATCCTGTTTAATCAAATCTGACTCCTCTGAGTATTCTGATATCCTGGATATTAAAATCTTATACCTGTCTAATCCAACAATCTATCAAATCTGAAACCTGAGTATTTTGACATCCTGTGTTATCCTATAATATGTCTTATGATATTTGAGCTTCTGAAATCCAGATTTATCCAACAAATTTAGTGATAAGACCTATTGTAATTTCCAATATAGACCCAAATTGACAGGATCCTGTCTTATCTGACTGCATTGTTATGTTCAAAAGGATATCAAATTAGACAGTTCTCTGTATTAGGAAACTTCACTGTTATCCAGTACACAGGCATCAATACTACTTAAGTATCGGCCATCAAGATTGTCTGACTACAAGCCTGTGTTGGTTGCATCTTTTCCCTCTTTTTTTGAAAATTGTGTCAAATTATGCTGAAGCTGATGCGACATTTAAGTATTTTCTGGGGAGATTTTTCTGTGAGATAGATTGTTGTGCATCAGTACAGTTTTAACACAGCTATATAAACCTAGCGTGTATTGATTATCTGATTAGGATTAGGAAGAAGGAGTCGAGCTATGGAGAGACATATGGAGGAGAACAGGACAACTAATTCATGTATGGCCAACATTTACTATTGGATTTTTATCCTGATTTTGCTATAGAATGTTAAACAGATGTCTTTATGCATAAAAAAAAATCGCTCTTGATTTTATTCCAAAATTCCAACATAGTTGTTTATCATCATAATTCTGCCATTTTGTCATTTGTTTTTCCTGTTGTAGCAGTTTACTGTCAGCATTAGCCATCCTTAATGTATAGCTGTATTGTGAGTAAGAGTTTCTGTCTCAGCCTACCATCTTATTTTGTGAACTCCCTATAAGATTAGATTTTTTTTTTAGAACAGCAATACAAATTTTCAAATAAATGTTGGATGAGTTTTCTTATAAATCAACAAGACAGTGTTAAAGGGTTATAAGGATTGAAGGAGAAAATTGTTACTAAATTGTCAGATTCATCCATTTGAGACGTGAGACCCTATACGTAACACTTTTGTCATTTGCTAAGAAAATATTTGCAGTATGTATTTAGAATGATTACAAACAGAAAATTTTTTCTTTGGAATTACTCATGTTTCATATAAAGACAGAGGTAGCTGAAGTCATACAGAGTTACCTGTAAGGTAATGATTTACATGACTTGGATTTGATCTGGTATTTTCTTTGGTATTGATTTCATTTATACTTAACAATAGAAACATTCAATTGTATTGATTTCTACATCAACTCTCAAGGAGATGTGGTGATTTGACGTTTTCAGACACAAGCAGGACTCATTTGTTGCTGTAGTGTAGCAGTCCTTGTGTATCATGTACTCAATATTACCGTTTAATGCCAGATTCATATCTGATACTTATACACTATACTCACATAACCATACACCTTGTATCATAGTCATACTTATACACTATACTCCCGTAACCATACACCTTGTAACATAGTCATACTTATACACTATACTCACGTAACCATACACCTTGTATCATAGTCATACTTATACACTATACTCACGTAACCATACACCTTGTATCATAGTCATACTTATACACTATACTCACGTAACCATACACCTTGTATCAAAGTCATACTTATATACTATACTCACGTAACCATACACCTTGTATCATAGTCATACTTATACATTATACTCACGTAACCATACACCTTGTATCATAGTCATACTTATACACTATACTCCCGTAACCATACACCTTGTAACATAGTCATACTTATACACTATACTCACGTAACCATACACCTTGTATCATAGTCATACTTATACACTATACTCACGTAACCATACACCTTGTATCATAGTCATACTTATACACTATACTCACGTAACCATACACCTTGTATCAAAGTCATACTTATATACTATACTCACGTAACCATACACCTTGTATCATAGTCATACTTATACACTATACTCACGTAACCATACACCTTGTATCAAGTCATACTTATATACTATACTCACGTAACCATACACCTTGTATCATAGTCATACTTATACACGATACTCACGTAACCATACACCTTGTATCAAAGTCATACTTATACACTATACTCACGTAACCATACACCTTGTATCATAGTCATACTTATACACTATACTCACGTAACCATACACCTTGTATCATATTCATACTCATAAAACAGATACTAACTGACCCTTAAACACTAACTTTTATGTATAATATCTAGAATATTCACTATCATATACTTATCTATGGTAGCTATATAAGATGTAATATTCAATATACTCGCTGTCTTAACTCATCTTTAATAGTAAACTATTATATATAATATCTTATATGCTCACTGTAATACAGTCATCTATAATGGAAAACTAGGATATATATAATATCCAGTATACTCACTATAACATACTCATCTGTACTTTTGATATCACTTTATGGTACTCAAGTAGTATGTACCAGAAGAACATAATATCAAAACCTATTCATATGATACAGAATTTTATGATTTATGATAATACTACAAGTGTTTGTTAGTCAGTAAATATTCATTACTTTGCCATTCCCATTTAGGTATTTAACATATCATGCTCAATGATATCCTGACTTTATATGTATATATATATATATGTATTATATAACCCATAGATTTGTGTTTTATCATTTTATTTTGACTCAAATCTATACTCACCACTGGCATTAGAAGAAATTGACAACATACGCCAATGAGAATGGACATTGGGTATTTGAGCTGACGTTTTAGACTCTCAGTGTCTGTAACACATCCGATTCCAAAACTGATGAGAATGGCCACCGCGGCCGCAGAACAATCAAACACAAAGTCTGCTGTTTTTTCTGCCCTAACAGTAGCCATGGCGAGTTTGGCGTGGGATAATGCTTTGTATACCCCTTCTTTAGCTGCTTGTTCGCTGTCGAGATCTAACAGTGTAACTGACATGGTCACATAACCTATATGCATCGCCTCTACGGTAAAGTTATACTCCTCATTGAGACGAACATGCATTCGAATTCTGTCATAAAGATAGTCACTATTGTCATAGTAATTGCTCCGTTTCTTATTTTTGTCCCATTTGTACAACTTGGCCACTTTGCCATTGCTGGTTTGAATGACGGCTTCGTACCAACGTCTTGTTATAGGAGTAGTGCTGCCATTGCCGTCAGTGGCAACGTTCTGGACAGAGGCCGCATGGTGTGGTGGCAGAGAAGAACCGTTGTTCGTCGTATTGGTATTAGCATTATTATTATCATCATATTGATGTGTCGTCGTCGCACTCCAGCCTGATGTCGTAGTACAGTTGAAGATGATGGTGTGATTAGTATTCACTTGCAGCCCATTGATTGATGGCGGGTTAAGGAAGATCTGGAAGGTTTCATTGACAATACGAGGGGAGAGGCTAGCCGACGGAGTTGGGGACACATTGAGGAATGGCTGCTGTGACTGGAATGTGCTTGTAGTAAAATTACTTGGACTCTTTAATGCAGCCGATACAGGCAGCAGAGTGGAAATCAGTGAATAGGATATATTCTGGGAGGCTGTTCTATCATTTGACGACATATTGGAAGGAGACAATGATATTGGTTTTTCAGCCTGTATATTGCTTGACAGATTTGACTGTAATTTTGTTGTCTCAGAGAGGGATTCACTTTCATCCCCAGCCCCATCTCTTCCGTCCCTACCCTCCAGGGGTTTAGATGTGATTTCAGTGATACCGGGTATTGCTCTTACTAAATTTGGAAGGTTTGGGAAAATGAGTACAGTGTGGACTAACGCTATGATAGTCAGATGTTTAGTCGACATCTCCACGCCGACGTCTGTCTGTCACCGGTTGACTATAGATGTCTGGTCCTCTGTATTGATACTGCTGCGGCTGCTGGAAACCCGCACCACTAGCTCCAATTAGGACCTGTCTATACACTCTCTGTTACTCTCTGTCAACTTGCATCAATAATGACCAGTTTTAATCTCTCCCGCGGGAGAGCTCCGTACTCAGTTCAATACCATCAGTAACAGGGAATTACATGTAGCGGGAAGTCGTGACAGAATCTGTATTATCTCCCCTTAGTGATCAATCTGATGAAATCAGTCTTTGGCACCATGTATAATGGCCGTATAATGAATAAAATTACACACGTAGACTTCGGAAATGTCGTAACGTATCCTCTTGTTATCTGTAACAATCTATAATCAATTTATTTATAAGCACTAGTCGGACATACGAAGATATTAAATGGCAGGGTTTCGACACTGTTACATCCAATTAATGACTGTTTACCCTTGTAAGTAACCAGGCTGGCCATTAATTCCCAAAATTGCATTAATTTCACCTATTCATACACTGTTGGCGCTGTATTTACTTGGCTATCACAGAAGTATAACCACCATTATCACAATATATCACAGGGTTGTATCACATGGCTTTTTTTATAATTCTGCATAAATCATCCACAGCATCATATTCACAACAGCTTGTTTATATTCCACAAAATCACTTCGTAAATATATTTTATGAAGAAATCATGGCTATTCCAGACATTTTTATGTAAGAGTTGAAAGAATCCTGTTCTGCACTCAGTTTCATTTTGAAGAATGATGCCACTTTCTGCATGAATTTTTCCCAAATCTATTAAAAGTCATTTCCCTAAAGCATATTGGTTATATTGATTAGAAAATCATTAATTTCCTTCGAGCACAAAGATTCATGAGAGAGAAAAAATATGTCACAATTAAATGAAGGAAAACTGTGTATATGACCTACAGCAAATTGAAATTAATATCAGTTAATTACGAAGAAACACATTGTGAGTATGTGTCCTAGTAGGCATAAAGTTGCTCTGGAAGTTGTTACACTCATAGTACCTTTTGAAATCACAACTGGGAAAATTAATCAACTCCACAACATGCTGAGTATACTACTTATTCCACATATCTACCTTCGGCTAAAATACAGCTGTAAACCTAGTGGCTAAATCATTTTGTACACAAACAGCAGAATTTCATTCCATTGTAAGAACGGTTCCTTTTAAATCACACAAACTGAATCACTTTTGTGCTCACTTTTGTGCCTTTCTGTTGATATATAACACAATTTTCTTTTCCATGTTCTGAATGGTATTTGTTGTCCTTATTGGTTGAGGTGTTGGCAGTGTCCTTCGGTCCATTGGGACATTTGTTTGTGTGAGAGTTGTTAGAAGTGTCACAGCCTTACATCCAGAAGCTTATGTAAATTCCTGGACTCATGTCAGGGCCTACAATGGAGCAAAATTACAGTTATAAAGACATCTTTGTAAAACTTTTTATCCGTCAACACAAACACTCACTCGATGCTTTAAATGGTTCACAAGAGTTAAATACATTGCTAAACGTAATTGTTTAAAATGTTGAAGGTAGAATTAGCGACAAATAACCTATACCAACTCATCAATGTTAAATAGGTACCTCTGAGTTTGTGAGTTTGTGTTATCGATTCCTGTGTGATCTCGATGGGGAACTTAGTGTCTCCAGGGTTGTATTGGAAACATCATTGACTCTGTCTGTCAGACAGGCATACATTGATCACTTAAGGAGGTATGCTGCCCTTAGATACTTATTAATGTTCAGTGTTAGAGTTACCTCCCTTTGATTTTATTTTTAATATTTTTTTTTGCATTGAAATAAAGTCCCGAAAACAAAAATATGCAACACAAAAACAGAAAATATATTTCAGTGTTCATTTACAACTGAATTAAATAAACAATAGTATTTGATTTGATCATATAATCTTTTTGGTTGTTTATTGAGACTTTTGAATTTTTCAAATTATTTTTCAATGTTGCAAGGGACAGTAAAAAAGGATCTTTGATCAATGTGAATTTTGATGTATTTCATATGCTCACATGTAAACACATAGGTAAAGTACATGTAAACTTGTTCGGTATTTTAAAATTCAGGTCAATTTTTTCTGAAATGGATAATAATCCTTCAAACAACATGTTCTTCTTATTATGTTACATTAGAAAAATGGAGATACGGCCATTTTTTAATCATAGCTGCCAAGTAAAAATGTGTTATTATCAATTTGTGATCAACAACACATCCATATTTCATGAAATTTTGGTTTTGGACTATTTCTTAGCGCTTCACTACTTTGAAAATAGTTTTGAAATATAGAAGTAGGTATCTTAAAAAAAAAAAAAGATAGGGAAGAAAATCTATAGCGTGGCCATGACTTCCTTGAAAAATACATTAATTTTGCTAAAAGCTTTTTGTGAAACTACCAAAATTAGAACCATAAAAACAACCCTTATAGTATTGCATCAAAGACCAGCAGTTCTTCCTTTAGGAATTCTATTTAAATTCAGAAATTTGAAATCTTGATTATTTTTCTCTTTCTCTTTAAGTTTATATAAAGCTGATGTCATTTGATTTGTTCTTAATCTTCTGAACATAACAGTTACATATTTTTCAGGGAAGTGCACATCAGTAGCATCAGTAAACAGTGGCAAATAATGAAAAAAAACCCATTCCATATGCCTTGTTAGAAATATCTGTACCACATGCTTAATTCAGAATTATTTGATGAAAAACAGCTGTATGATGACTACAGATCCTCCCTCAATCCCTTATCCCCCTTTCCAGCTCCCTCCTAGACACAATGATATACAAAGGTAGAAAGTCGTGTCCTTGATCAGCACATTACTACGACTTTTCTCCCTGACCTATAAACCCTAGATAGTGTGTGATGGATCCTGCGTCTGTCTGCTACGTGTATATATACCAATCATTAGCATGATCAGAGAACACTTTTTTCTCCCTTTCTTATGTTCCAGTGTTTTATCAGGATGTAAGCATTCCATTCTGTCTAGAGGCTTATTACTACTTCACATTCAAAGGCTACTTATATATATATATATCTACAATGGTCCTACATTGTGAGTAGGACTCAGCTACAAATTATATCAATACTCCAACATTGGGAGTAAGACTCAGCTACAAATTATATTAATACTCCTACATTGTGAGTAGGACTCAGCTACAAATTATATCAATACTCCAACATTGGGAGTAAGACTCGGCTACAAATTATATTAATACTCCTACATTGTGAGTAGGATTCAGCTACAAATTATATCAATACTCCTACATTGCTACAAATTATATTAATACTCCTACATTGTGAGTAGGATTCAGCTACAAATTATATCAATACTCCTACATTGTGAGTAGGATTCAGCTACAAATTATATCAGTACTCCTACATTGTGAGTAGGACTCAGCTACAAATTATATCAATACTCCAACATTGTGAGTAGGATTCAGCTACAAATTATATTAATACTCCTACATTGTGAGTAGGACTCAGCTACAAATTATATCAATACTCCTACATTGTGAGTAGGGTTCAGCTACAAATCATATTAATACTCCTACATTGTGAGGAGAACTCAGCCACAATATACCTATAATTTACACATCTATACAATACTCACACAATGTGAGCAGCACACAGCCAAGATATACCAATTATTATTCTTCAACATCACTTAGTTGAATAGAATTAAGAAGTGAGCACTTTCAGAGGAATTGGTTCTATATAAAATAAGAATATTCCCAATTGGACATTAGATAGGAAGAAATACTCTTTAAAGGAATTGGACATTTTCTTAATGAATCAGACTCAATTCCAGAATGTTACTTTTGGAAACATTGCTTACGCAATACATCAGAGAGCCTGTCCCTTATTCTACCCTGTGTTCTGACGTTTATGCCTAACAATAAATACCAGCCTTCAAAAAATTTCAAAGACTGTGTTTATTACAATAGCAAGCAAGTCTCAATCCTCCCCCACTACTAAGTGTACTGATGCTGTTGGTTCACAAGGTCGCTGCAGTGCTTACAATTGATGTTACTCTGCCTGCTTTGGGCTGGTATTACAGGTAAACAATAAGGCAAACATACAAATCCTTACACCTTTCATCTATGGAATTGGAGGGTTAAATCTATGTATACCTGCTTTCTGTTTTTTAAATAACAACCAGTCTTAATTGTATCACTAATTAATTTTCAGTGTATTTATCAGCTGACTTATGTTTTGTTACATTTGTTGTTGGAGCCAAGGAAGTTGTGACTAATTTTTACTCTAGTCTTAATTTCTTTTTTTGATAAAATAACTATTTCTCTTTGAATTTTCATGAAAAATTGTCTGTTAATATTATGCAATTATGGACTTCAAAAAGGGTCCCAGATTGATGCACCTGATCTGAATAACATTTAGTGAAGTGACTAAGAGTACTCATCCTCACAAAGAGCAGGTTTGTCAATTATAAAATAGATAAAGTAAATTCTAAAATCTTAATGCTCTATCCATAAACTATTTCAAGTTAATAATCTCTTAATTATTTTTTTTTTCTCTTCCAGTTAGAGCTTTTGTGTTTAAAGAGGTAGATTTCATTCTTAAATTGGACCTTGCAAGAGAATCACAGAATTGGTATTTGGAATTTACCTAATCTATTTTTAGAAATGATCTACAACACCTTTTCTATTTTTGAATGGGTCTGTAACAGACTTAAGATTGGTCACATGGTGTTGCTGCTTCAATCAGAGTTGGTGATTTAGAGCAATTGAACATGATAAATAGCAGTTTCACTTTTAATATAAACATACCTGTACATGCAGGTAAAACAGTATATTTTTATCACCCTAAATATATTAAACGGAAAAACAAAATAAAGGTCATAGATGATGACTTCATTCATGACCATGTTCCAAAATGTCAAACATGTTGAGATTATCAAATTGATTAAACTGTTTACTGTAACTAAATCTATGTAAATTCAGTATTAATTTAAATATTCAAATTGATAATGGTGAGGTATGTATAATAAAAATTTAGTAGTCTAGTGTATGTGGTGAAGCCTGTAATAGTGGCAAATGCAATGTTAACCTCATTGGTATATTGACACACTCTTATATTGAAAGATGGATGTTTTTTAGTCAATCAATTGTCTCGAAATATCACATGATCATTTCCTCTAATTCAAAAACATTGACTTCCTGCCAGATTTATAGCTTTTCTTTGGTGATTTCTGTCTGCAAAAAAAACGGTAATTTATTCTAATTATCTTGTAGATTAGGTAATCTCTGTGTTTTTTGTCGATTAGCAGGTTATTCTGATTGACGGTTGATTTCAAGGTAAAAGTTAATGTTCATACTGTGGGAATATTGACCTGAACTTTCCTGGAAAATTCCTGTTACTATGATACTAAACATGTAATCATAAAAAGCTATGTGTTTAATACCTTGTAGATATCGATCAGGCTTTCTCCTAGTGTGAGTTATAGATTAAATGATTAGATCTTTGAGACCTACCTGTGCCAGCGATGCAAATACCACCTGTAATTAGTTGTCCAGGTAAACAAGTTATCCTTTCTCTAACAAGATTTAAAGTAAATTGGTCCAGGGCTTTACTGAAGCTCACCATGGTAAGACTATATAGTGAAATCTGTTGGCCAAACCTTTGGTGTAATGGGGAACTTGGGGGCTGCTCAGTCAAGACTAGTACAAGTGGTAAATGTTCTCATACTTCGCTTACCAATATTTATTCATCAAACGTAAATTTGATTCAAATTACAACTATTACAGTCATAAAACTCAAACTGCATGTAACATTTAATATGTTTTTGCTATATTTTCTTTCTATGAAAAAGATTTTAAATCAATTTCATGTTTAGCTTACTTTTTTCTGTAATATTTATGAATAAATGTCTATCAAACTTCAAGAGAAGTTGTGGTAATAATAGGTGAATGGTTTGATGCCACTAGAATGAAGTTGTTCTGACCAGGTGTTTAAAATTCAGCAGATCTTGGAAGTAACACAGGTTGTCTGGACTTATTCTAAAGGACACCCTTTCCACTAGGGGGTGCTGTTCTGATAACTCTCAGACACATTTTACAAACGACCTCTAACATGTTGATTAGGTGCATATGGAACATTAATTATGTACTTTTTGAAGGGAGAAAAAAAAACACTGTTATAGAAACGGGAATCTTTTGGCTAACTGTATTTGTCAGCAAGATATCATCAAAGCCGAAGTGTGGACAAGGATGGAGAATGTTTATTTTGCCATGTGGCATATAATACTTAGTAGCAGGGATGAATTTACATTTTCTTCATCAGTTGTAAGCATTGAGGAGAATCTTTTTCATTTCCAGTCTCAGCCACCAGTATACCACCATCACCACCACACACACACCGACCCTGTCTGTGAAA